GCAATATCTCCCGTTGGCTGGGAAAATGAATTATTTTGCAAAAAAATAAAAAAAAAAAATTTTCATTGTTCCTTGTTTTAAGTCCAAAATGAAGAGGACTATCCTAGCTAAATTTGGCCTGATATGACAACATTTATCAGTAACATAGGAAGAGATCTTGCATGTAACGTCCCCGTGATATACCAGTCAATACACAATTGTGCCACGTTAGTGTGTTAGTGCATGCCGCAATATCTAAACGAGGATTATATTGTGTTAGAAATGCACTTGTAATGTGGTATAGGGGGTATCTCAGCATAGATTTCTGAAATAAAATTATTATCAGTAGACCTGCTTGTTTATAATTAGGAGATGCGCCCTACCTGCTATACTATATTTATGTAAGATACGCGCCTAAATATACCAGTCAGTACACAAATCTGCAACGTTAGGTGTTAGCGCATGCGCGAATAATCTAACCAGAGGAGTGATATTTGTTATGAATATGCCATTTAATGTGCGTTAGGGGTGATCTCCAGCATAGATTTCTAAAGATAAATTCAATATCAGTAGACTGTGTTTATAATGGAGGAGAGTGCCCTAGCCTCATGCTAGCGTTGCAATTACCTCCTACTCACTCCCTCCCGTCTTTTCCCTGACTCCTCATCCCTCACTCAGCCTTTTCTTCTTCTGCGCTTCTCAGCCTTGCTCCTGCCGGCCTATGCCTCAGTCTGCACCCCACTCTCTCTCAACAATCTATATATGCAGTTTCTTATGTCGTACTGCGTGCATAAATACGGTGATCGCGCATCGCAATATGCCTCCTGAGAAAATATATTATGCAAAAAATTATGCATAAAAATAAAGAAGAACTACCCTATTCATCGATTTATATGACATCATTTCATCAGTAGCCTCACTTAAAGACATGGAAGAAGATCATTGCAGTAGGTCCCCGCTGCCTAACCAGTCAATCAACACAATCTGGCCACGTTAGTGTGTTAGTGCATGCGCAATATCTAAACCAGAGGAGTTATATTTGCTATGAATATGCATTTAATTGTTAGAGGGTATCTCAGCATAGATTTCTGAAATAAAATTATTATCAGTAGACCTGTGTTTATAATTAGGAGAGCGCCTTAGCCTTTATACTATAAGTTTAGTAAGTACCCCGCTAGAAAACCAGTCATACACAATCTGGCCACGATTAGTATGTTAGCGCATGCGGAATATCTGACGACCAGAGAGTTCGTGTTTGCTATGATATGCATTATGTGTTAGGGGGATCTCAGCATAAGATTTCTAAAATAAATTATTAATCAGTAGACACTGTGTTATAATTAGGAGAGCGCCCTAGCTGTAGGGTGCAATACCTCCTACTCCACTCCCTCCCGTCTTTCCCCTTGATCACCATCCCTCATCAGCCTTATCTTCTTCTGCCGCATTCTCAGCTATCTCCTGCGCCTTGCCTCAGCTGCCACCCACCTCTCCCTCAACAATCTATATCATGCGCTTTCTTATGTCCTACTGCATGCATGAATCGGTCTCGGCATGCGCAATATCCTCCGAGAAAAATAATATTATGCAAAAATTATGCTTCAAAATAAAGAAGAACTTAATCCTATCCTAGATTTATATGCACAGTCCATCAGTGACCTCACTTAAGAGATGGAAGAAGATCTTGATGTAACTGTCCCGCTGCATATACCAGTCAGTACACAATCTGGCCAGTTTGTGTGTTAAGCGCATGCGCAATATCTGACCAGAAAGTTATGTATGTTCTATGAATATGCATTTAATGTGGTTAGGGGTACTCAGATAGGATTCTGAAAATAAAATATTATCAGTAAGGCCTGTGTTTATGATTGGAGAGTGCCCTAGCCTGCATTACTCTAGTTATGTAATTGTGTATCCCGCGAATATACCAGTCAGTACCACAATCTGCCACGTTAAGTTTGCGCATGCCGCCAATATCTGCTCAGAGAAGATTATATTTTGCTATGAATTATGCATTTAATGTGGTTAGGGGAGTCTCAGCATAGATTTTTGAAAAATTATCAGTAGATCTGTGTTATATTAGGAGAGCGCCCTAGACTGTAAGTGTGCAAAAACTCCTACTCCACTTCTCCCGTCTTTCCATGGACTCTCTCTCCTTAAACAGCTTTATTCTTCTTCTACCGCCCTCACTAGTTCCTTGCGCTGCCTCACTCTGGCACCCCCCTCACCCTCAACATCTATATATGCAGTTTTTCTTATGTCCGTACTGAGCATGCGTCGGTGCTCGGCATGCGCAATATCTCCCGAGAACAACAAGTAATTTGCAAAATTTGCATTCAAATGACAAGAAGAATTATGCTATCATAGAGTTTATATGACAACTTCCATCGTGACCGCACTAAACATGGAAGAAGATCTCTGCATGTAAGGTCCCCGCATGCATTATACATCAGACACAATCTGGCCACGTTAGTGTGTTGCGCATGCGCATACTAACCAGAGGAGTTATATTTTGTTATGAATAGCATTTAATATGTTAGGGATGTCTTCAGCATAGATTTCTAAAATAAATTATTATCAGCTAGACCTTGTTATAATATTAGAGCGCTCTAGCTTGTATTACATGCTTATGAAGGTACCCGCTGAAGTATACCAGTCAGTACACAATCGGGCCCGTTAGCGGTTAGTGCATGGCCGCCAAATTAACCAGAAGCAGTTATATTTTGTTACATGAATATACACTTTAATGGGTTAGGGTATCTCAGGCATAGATTCTGAAATAAAATTATTATCAGTAGACCTGCTGTTCTATCATTAGGAGGAGCGCCCTAGCCTGTAGTGGCAAAACTCTACTCCACTCCCTCCCGTCTTTCCCTTGATCTATCCCTCACTCAGCCTTTTCTTCTTCTACCGCCCTCAGCTATGCTTCCTGCCGCCTTGCCTCAGTCGGCCATCACTCTCCCTCAGCAATCTATAAATGCAATTCTTAATGTCCGTACGTATGAATAAATCGTGCTCGCGCATGCGCAATATCTCCCGAGACAACAAGATTTTCCAAAAATTATGATTCAAATGGAAGCAGACACTATCCTAGCATAGTTTATATGATAAAATTCCATCAGATTAGACCTCACTTAAGACATGGGTAAAGATCTGCATGTAGGCTCCCCTACTGCAGTTACCAGTCAGTTACACATCGGCCAGGTTAGTTGTGTTAGCGCACCGCAATAATCTGACCAGAGGATTCTATATTTGTGAGAATTTGATTTATATGGTTAGGAGGTATCTCCCGCATAGCTTTCTAAAATAAATTATTATTTAGGTAGACCTGTGTGTTATAATGAGGAGAGCGCCCCTTGCTCACTTGGCCTGTTATTACTTATAGTTTATGTACTTGACTCACCTGCTAGCCAAATTTTTTGCTATATACACCCGTCTAGTACACACATCTGTGGCCACCGTATTGTTTTAACCCGCGTGTCTTCACCTCAGTGCAGTAAGGGACGTGAGTGAGTGACGTGTACGTGAGATTTAGTTGAAACGTGGAACGGTGAAGTGGACGTGTACTCGTTGAGGTGAGTGAGTCAGTAAGGACAGTGAGTGAGTGCTACTCTTTTACTTGTACCAACATTCATAGCAATAATAATTCCTATATCTGCATTGCGTTCCCTGCCCTACCCATTGCTATGTGGCCGTTGTCGTTTCGCAGTGAGTGAAGTGAGTGCTGTGAGTGATGAGTGATAGTGAGTGAGTGAAGGACGTGATGCTGGTGAGTGACCGTGAGTGAGTGATGAAGTGAGTGTGTGATTGGAGTGTGTGAGTGCCGTTGCGTGCTGCTGAGTGTAGTGATCTGAGGTGATGTGACCGAGTGACGGTGGTAAGTCGCGATTGGTGAGCGTGAGGCTGGAATGGTGCAGTGCATGTGGTTCCTCACAGTTGAGTGGACGTGTGTGAGGAGTGAGGGGTGAGTGATGAGTGAGTGAGTATAGAGTGACGCCTGTGAGTGAGTGGTGATGAGTGTGTGAATGAGACCGACATTGAGTGAGGACGTGAACGTGAGTAGTGAGGTGGGAGCGAGTGAGTGGAGTGAGGTGAGTGAGTGGTGACGTGAGTGAGGTGAAGTGAGTGAGTGAGTAATGAGTGAGTGAAGTGTTCGTGAGTGGTGAGTGAGATGCGTGATGTGAGTGAGTGAGTGCGTGAAAGTGAGTGAGGTGAGTGGAGTGAGGGAACGTGAGTGAGTAGGCGTGATACTGCATTTATTATAGCAGATAACTTTCAAAGCTATTGTTTCAGCTACAAATTCGACGCTAGAACCGCCGACGACAACGCCACTCCTGATTAGAACACGATACCAATTGGCGCACTTACTGTATTTTACGCACCATTGTGAACAATCTGCGATTGATCTTGGTGGGTCGAGTTACAGATGCGAGTAGTGAACGATGGTTTGAGACTACAAACCGAATGGCAAACATCTGTAGTAGAAGTGACGCTCGACGACAACGCCACTGCCGATTAGACCGTACCAATGGCGACACTTACTGTATGTTGTACGCACCATGTGAACAATCTGCATTGATCTGGTGAGGTCGAGTTACAGTATCGCCGACGTGTGACCGATGGGGTTGAACTACAAAACCAGATGGCCAAACATTGTAGTAGAGTACGCGAGCTACACCGCCACCTCCGATTAGAACACGGTACCCAATTGGCGACACTACTGGATGTTGGTACGGCACCATCGTGAACAAATCTGCATTGATCTTTGGTGGGCGTCGAGTTCAGTATGCGGTAAGTGAACTATGGTTTGAAACTACAAACACCCGATGGGCAAACATTGTAAAGTAGCCGCCGCCGACAACGCCACCTCCGATTAAGAACACGTAACAATTGGCGACACTTACTGTATGTTGTACGCACCATGTGAACAATCTGCATTATCTTGGCTGGGTTCGAGTTAAGATTGCGAGTGTGAACGATTGGTCTTGAACTACAAACCGATGGCCAACATTTGTGTGTGTAGAAGTACGCCGACGACAACGCCACCTCCGATTAGAACACGGTACCCAATTGGCGACACTTACTGTATGTTGTACGCACCATGTGAACAAATCTGCATTGATCTTGGTGGGTCGAGTTACAGATGCGAGTGTGAACCAGGGTTTGAACTACAAACCGATGGCAAACATTGTAGAAGTACGCCGACTACAACGCCACCTCCGTTTAGAACACGGTACCCAATTGGCGACACCTACTGTATGTTGTTTGCACCATGTGAACAAATCTGCATTGATCTGCGTGGTGGCTCGAGTTACAGATGTGAGTGTGAACCAGGGTTTGAACTACAAACCGATGGCAAAAATTGTAGAAGTACGCCGACGACAACGCCACCTCCGATTAGAACACGGTACCCAATTGGCGACACATATTGTATGTTGTTCGCACCATGTGAACAGATCTGCATTGATCTTGGTGGGTCGAGTTACAGATGTGATTGTGAACCAGGGTTTGAACTACAAACTGATGGCACCACCTGTCGAGGTACGCCGACGACAACGCCACCTCCGTTTAGAACACGGTACCCAATTGGCGACACCTACTGTATGTTGTTTGCACCATGTGAACAAATCTGCATTGATCTAGATGGTGGGTCGAGTTACAGATGTGATTGCAAACCAGGGTTTAAACTACAAACTGATGGCACCACCTGTCGAGGTACGCCAACGACAACGCCACCTATAACTAGACCTACAACTCGGTATCCGATTGGCGACACCTATTGTATGTTGTTCGCACCATGTGAACAAATCTGCATTGATCTAGATGGTGGGTCGAGTTACAGATGCGACTGTGAGCTTGGATTCAAACTGCAGTCTGATGGTTCTACTTGTAGAGGTATATGTCGCCTTTACAGATGTAACAGTTTTAGCTCGATCACTATCCATTGGTTGCTAACCTTTAACACATTTTATCTTCGCACATGCTTACGACGAAGATGATAAAAAATTCATAGATCAAACTCAAAACAGAACCTAAACGATTCTAGCAGCACGGTCATCTCCTTGAACTGCGCAAAGTGTCGAACAGGCTGTTTGCAGTCTTTCCATGAATCACCTTCGTCAGCTAAAAACAAATACCAGCGCATCTAATAGTTGATAATCTATGTAGGTAATTTAACACGCAGACGTCTACGCGTGGGGGTGTCTGCAGTCTGGTGTATAACATACTATTAATTCATATTGTATCGAATACGTATTTATCTGCCTATCATTTATTTATATGTATTTGTTTATTTCTGCGTAATTATGTATTTTACGTATATTTTTGCATTATTTCATTTCAGCAAGTGCGATGAACGCAGAGCGGACTAAATCGATCGTTGAACGCTTGCCTTTGGCGAAGGGTAACTTATGAACAGCGATTATCACTTAGTTACGGGCGAAGGTTTATTTAGTGAGTAGAAAGAAACATCGAAACTTTTGTGCTAACTTTAGGCTTGGCCCTTCTGACAACGCTCGCTAGGGCTTCCCTCAATTAGCTCCCTTACTTCTAACCCACCTCACATGCAGACGTACGACGACATTTTGTATGTGTCAAGGTGTGGAATGCAAAGCAGACCAGTTTAGATGCGTCTCGGATGACTGCATTCCCACCACCTGGCGATGCGACGGACATCAGGACTGCGTCGATGCGTCGGACGAGCTTAACTGCACAGGTCAGAAATAAAAGGTTCCTCACCACAGAAATAATCCGTGCAAAGTCGCTTACATCTTAGCGTCTTTACAGCGTCTTTACAGCATCTTTACAGCATCTTTAAGCATCTTTATAGCAGTCTTGATAGCATCTTTATAGCAGTCTTTATAGCATCTTTATAGCAGTCTTTATAGCATCTCACCACAAATTCAACGCACGCGCACGCGCACACGCATGGACCTTCTCGATGATAATTCTATCTCTAAAACATTGGCTCCCCCAAGGCTGTGCATATCCAATCGCGATATCCTGTTTCTACACTTCCTGTTTCCTAGCAGCAGGAACTGACGCTCCCCCAGTCAACAGGTTCAGTACGCATATCAACCCTTACTGGGAGTAACCACATAATGCTCAGCTACATATCGCGAGTCTAAGGCTAGGTTCCAGCTCAGTATGATCGGAGAGCACAACCCCCTCACTCGCCAGTATCGACAATGAGCGTCGATAAAGCATAACTATAGTTAGCTTAAGCGTAAGTTATAACAGACGTCGTTCGTGAAAACAAACGCCGCTGGTGACGCAAACCTCAGCACGATACATCTCAAAGATATATATATATATAGTGTGACGCGTCCGCGATGACATTCACCCGAAGCATGCCGCTGACGCTGCTGCTGACGCTGGTGATGTTGGCGATGCTGCCTGACCGGATGTCCGGCGAGTTACAGCCGGGTCACGATGATCACCGATGGTCAGTGGCCGGACGTCGGCCACCGAGCGAGACCGCATGGTTCGGAAGAGGATGGCGTGACCACGCTTCGCTGCGTGCGGCAGGAGAACGGGGCAGGTCGGCGGGAGAGCGGGGCAGGGGTGCGCGGCGGGAGGTGCTGGCGTTCGGTAGGGGGCGCACGGGGCGTAACGGTCGCGAGGACCTCCTGGCGCTCGTGCAGGATGGATCCCCGCCGCCGCCGCCGCCAGCGACACCTGGTGGGCGCGGGCCGAAATCCGCCGCTGCCGAGAGGTTCATGCTGCGCTTACTACAGCGTGCGATGCGTGATCGCTGTAACAAGACAGGTGAGAAAACGTACCTGGTCGTAACGCGAGCGAGGAACGAGCGAGTAGGATTCGTTAGTGAGTGAGTGACTGAGTGAGTGAGGGAGTGAGTGAGTGAGTGATTGAGTGAGTGAGTGAGTGAGTGAGTGAGTGAGTGAGTGAGTGAGTG